ATGCGATAGTGGATGACACACAGAACGTAGGTTTGATTTTGTACTGACTAAGTTTTGCACTCATGTAGGTATAGCGCTATGAAATATATTGTTGTGATAAGATTTATCTCTTTTTCTTTTCTTTCAAACCATAGTTGAAAAATCTATCGAAAGTGTGTTCGGATTGCTCACCGTTCATTGATTGCGCAGCGGTGATCGTGTGCGCTCTCTGTGTTCACATTTAAGAAGGTCATGGAGACTTTTGATCATTTTTCTTCATCTAGTTTTACTCTGCTATTATCTGGTCCAACTTTTGATCCGATTTTGGTGGTAGTGCAATTATTTCATACTTTCTTTCTTGCTGTCTTACTTCTGCCGCACCTCGCTTGTTTGAGAAAATTTATGTTTATTTGCTTGTGATAGCTAGTCTTGCAAGTTAGCTCTGGCATTGTAACGGCACATGCTATTTTTTCACCTTCGCCACAAACAGTTTGGAGTTTATGTTTTGATCCTGATTTGAAAAAATGTTCCTTTTTTGTAAATTTGCGCTCACGAGTCTCAAAAGTGTTAAAATCTGGTGAAAGACACGTATGCATGTTGTTGATGATTCGTGAGGTTTCACTGGTAGATTCGTTCACATGCCGTGCAGTATTTTGCTGATGACGCACTGTTGAATTATTTATGAGTGTATTGTTATCATAAAAGTCGCAATTGATTTTAAATTTCTTTACTGCGTGAGTTGGTTTTAGTATTCAAAATATAGCAGTTCAATTTGCTAACTAGAAGATGTCGTTTTCTTTTGATTTTATTGGATCTATCAAATATTCCAGCTTCTGATTTCGACTATGCTTGAGAACATTGTTGCGTGGGTTCTAAACAACTACATAGGTGAATACCTTGAAGACCTCAATACAGATCAGTTGTCTGTGGCGCTCCTGTCAGGTAGACTTTCCTTTGTTTCCTCTTATTTTTTGCTCCTCCATTACTTTTTTAGGACAAGTAGAGCTAGAAAATGTGCCTTTGAAGAAAAGTGCTTTACGCAAACTTGATTTACCCCTGGAGGTGAAGGCTGGATTGTTGGGAAAGCTGACACTGTCCGTGCCTATAACACATCTGAGAAGCGAACCATGGGCATTGAAGGTTAGCCTAGTTGTTATTTTGAAGTTTGCTGCCATACTGCGACGTATTTTTGGATTTTTTATCATGATCATAATTCTTCCATATGCCATTTTTGGTATATTCAAGACTTAGTTATCTCCTGACAAAATCTGTATGCGAAGTTATCACCAACTGTCCATAGTAATTCCTTTCTCGTTTCAGCTGAGCGATGTTCTCATCATTGTCGGTCCTCCAACACCTGATCGCCGATATGACGTGGAAGCAGTGGAACGTGTTGAGCAGCAAAAAAAGGAACAAATGTTAGATGAACTTGAAAAACGACATACAGTGAGTAAACAGGAACGCTGTTTGAAAACTGGAACAAATTTTGGTTTTAGACAGAGTTATTATCATTTCTTGGCATCACTGTTCCGGCCTCACAAGACACGTGGTGGGGTGCATCTTTGATTTCTACAGTGTTGAATAATATACAGGTTGGTCACAACCTCTACGCTTTCTTTTTTTTCATGATAAGATTTTTTTTGTTTTTTTACTATATCTCCAAAGTCTTTCTTGATGATGGTTCAGTGGCTTTCGTATTAGGTTTATTTGTGCTTTTACGATTATTACTGTGATGTGATTTGCTTCTGTGCCGTGCAGTTGTTGTGTGGAAGTTCAATAGATAACGAACTGCTCAGCAAACCTGTACGGACCCGACTTCGCCCAAAAAAGCACGAAAAAGCCCGAAAATGCGCGAAAAAAACCAAAACCGCCAGAACGCCTACATCACGAGCGCGACTTTTGGCGATCCGTAAGGATGCTGCAGCCGCTGTGGTCAGTGCTATTAACAGTACAACTACCTTTAACAGAGGAATAGGAACTTCTCATGTCGCGCTCGTGAAGTAGGCTTTCTGGCTCTTTTGGGTTTTTTCGTGCGTTTTCGCGCTTTTTCGCGCTTTTTTGGGCGAAGTATGACGAATCCCTACAACATGGGAGCTGAGAATATTCGTTTAATTTTATTCCATTTTATTTTTTATTTTTGGACGAGTAGTTGCGTTTCTCGGTCTTCAGCACTTCATTTCCGCTCTTCTCACTATTCTTTTTTTAGTTGATACTCAATAATGTCCATATCCGTTACGAAGACGATTTGTCATTGCCCAATGGACTTGTTTTTAATTGCGGTGTACGTATACAAACGATGACGATGCAGACGACGAATGCTGCAGGGGTGAGATTTTTTTACTCGTCTTTCAAGCTTTGTAATTTTCATTTCCGTTCAGAAGCCTGGTTTTATTGAGCCTCAGTCGGGTGTAAATATATTCAAAAAATTAGAACTGAAAGGATTCAGTCTGTACTGGAATTCGGATCAGAAATTATCGAAAAATTTGGATACGCCAAAGAATCTACGGGTTTGCAATTTTTTCGTCATTATTGTCATGTTTAGAAATTCATAATTTTTGAAGGACATACTTGCTCCGGAAGACCCTAGCAGTGCTTTCATCATCCACCCTTGTAGTGCTGAGCTAAGAATGGAACGGAATTCTAGCAAATTTCCACTTAAAGGGCATACTCCTAGGTTTAAAGTAAGTTTACAGAACCTTGTTTCATGAATCAACATAATAGCGAATTTTAACAATTCAGTTTTTCCTGCTACCAGAAAAGATTACGATAGAAATGACAAGGAGACAGATGGCCGAACTACGCGCTCTGAATCGGGAATGGGCTCGTTTCGAGCGAGCACGGCAACATAGGAAGTGGAGACCGTTGACGAAAATTGGCGAAAAGTAAGAGCAGTTTGTGGTCGTGGTTACACAAATTCCAGTTAGTAGACTCTTCTTCTATCAAGAACTTTTAGTGCAGGGGAATGGTGGCGATTCGCTTACGACCGAGTAAGCGAGGACACACGCCGAGCGCAAGCTCGTCGTTCTTGGCACTTTGCTCTTACTCGCGCACGACACCTCAATGCGTACTGTAGAGCGTATCGGCGGCGGCTTTTAGCTCTGATAGAAAATCCTGCTCTGTGAGTATAGCAACTTTTGGTCAAACCTATTTTTCAAATTATTATCAAATTATTCAGAAAGAACTCTACTACCGAAAAGGTGGAAGAGGATAATACGCAGTCATCATCGAGCAAACAAAGTTCACCTGTGCATGGTCCGCATGAAGACGTCGTTATTATGAAGCAGATTGAGCACGATTCGCAATATACATATCATGTAAGTTTTGCTAGCCTCGAAAGTCTTGCTTTGCACATTCAAACTCTTTTTCATCTTTTCATTGTCTTTTAGCTCCCCTTTTACTCTCACGTTCTTTATAGTAGTGTTTTTTGGTTATTTTAGTGGTATACATCGAATTTAGGAGCTACATCTTTTTCGGGAGACCGTTTTCCGCAAACTTATGCGGGAGAAGGCCAAAGAAAAAGGCACAGATCTTTCTTCAACCAATGACGACGTCTTTGAGAACATAGACACTCCGGTAGAAGAGATTCCCTCAGTGGATGTAATGCGTAGCGTACAAAAAGAAAGTGGTGGCCTGTATGGATGGATAACGAGTTTTTTCACGCAGGAAGAAAGCAGTAAGTTCAATTTCTTCACGTTTTCAAATTGTGGTTCAGCCAGGTAAACTAAATTCAAACTCATTTAGAAATAGAAAAGGAGGAAGCATTTGATTTTCGAAAATTGGACTTGAAGGATTTCGGAGATCTGCCAAAGTCATTCAACGTGAAGGTTGCTTTCAATCACTTTCTAGATACTTTTCAAATTTATTTAGATTTCGTTTTTCTTTGTCCCACCCGCACCATTACTCCACATGTACAAGGATTTTTGAATTTCAGGAAATGGAAGAAGAAATTCTGGATGTCCTGCACGAATCTTGGGATGATTCCACCTTGTTGAGACGTGATATGCTTTTAGCCGAGATAGCGATGCGCCTCGAGCACATGACTTTGCGCTTCATTGATACCATAGTAAGTCCTACATGTCTGTTTGGTCATGTTCTTTGTCTGCGTTCGAGAATTGTGTATTACTTTCTTCCAGAAGCTCAACCAAGCTGAGCAGCGTCGAGTTTTGGCAATGGACTTGACGGGTGTGACTTCTCGTGTTGAACTTAGTCCTCGACAGCATTCTCTGACAGTATCTCTAGCTGTTATGGATATGGGCATTCAACGATTAAGAACAGGACATCTTCCTCCAAAGGTTTGTTCACTTGCTTATATTTGATTTCCTTCCCTCTCTGCATCACATTCTATAGGATGGTCGTGCATATGAAGATTTGGACGAATCATTCATGTTTTCGTTGGCTGAATCAACGA